ATTCAAATCCACCCTGGTAAAGTCCCTGAAAATCCATCAGTACATCCACTTTTGGAGGATCCATAACTTATACTAACAGTTTTTCAGGGGCTCCAACAGAGTGGAATAGGAATAGGAATAGGAATGAATAAGAACTGGCCCTGTCAGTTTCCCTCTGTTTATTGATTGATCAAGTCCCTGAAGTATGGATCCAAATTGATAATAATATGGACTAGTGTGTGATGATTAGTTTCAAACATATTTTTTACTTAAAAATAACTTTCTGAATGTTTTACACAGGTGGAGGGAGCGCAGTTGGAAGTATTTTACACATCCAACATACAAAACATACTAGGAGAACAAAAGATAGTTATAAGAAAGTGAGAGAAGTTTAGCTCTCAAATTTTTTTTTATAATTTTCCTTTTAAATATTGCCTTCTAACACTGATTACAGATTCTCTGTGTCTTCACTGAGTCTCATTTTAATTTTTTTCTTTTTAACCCTAGACAATGAATTGGCATTAGGTCCAATTCTTTTAATTTTTTTTAGACACATTCTAAAATATATTTCAGCATATAAACAGGTTGATTAGTGTACTAACCTCAAACTGGATAAAGTGATGGGTTGACAGAAAGAAGAAAAGCTAAGCCAAATACAAGGTTTACAAGCAATTTATTATTTTTAGCTGATATTGTTATATCAGTCTTCATCTCTTTCCCTCCCCAGTGATAACAGTGTGGGCTTCCATGTTTATTATAGTAATGCAAAATCAAAGTTGGATGAAATAATTCTGGAACCAGCAGCTTTGGATCACAGTAACTATGTTACTTTATTTGACTTCTGCAATATAAAAGATTTGCATGTTTAAACTGATCAGATACTATTTTCAAATACTGTGTTCCGTTATTTGCTATATGTACACTAAGCATAGGGACTGTTAGCACGTCTGAAGTAACATCTGCTCTGTCTTTTTGTTGTTGGGTTCATGGTATAATTAGCTCTATATTTCACCAAATACAATTTTGCTCCCATGGCGGATGGAGCAGCATGAAGAAAACATAAATAATTGCAGATTAGAGAAACAGAAGGCAACGTGGGTGTAGGTGGCTTTGATGAAAAAAAGGGTTAAGGAGAATGGAAGGTCATCTCATTATAAGAAATAACATTGTTAAAATTATACAATAATTTACTAGACTTTTTCTTATACTGAATAATATAAAGACTTTTTTTTTTTTTTACTTTTATTAGTTTTTCAGAGGGAAAGGCATATTAAAAACCAGACACTTTCTTCCAGAATTTTAAATACGGTACATGCTTGGATGTACAAAATAGGCTCTTAGAATAAATGCTAAAAAATACATGATTTTAAATTAACTTAAGATTTTCAAGGTATAAAACAAACTTTCCTCGACAGTGTTATTAACAATCCCTACAGTTCACAGAGGATGAGTATTCCCTTCATATTTTCTAGGTAAACATTATGAAGATATCCAGGTAGATTTGTTTTACCTTGCCATAATGTTTCCTGTAAATCACTAGTTTTCATGGACATTTATTATTTCTTTTCCTTATGTAAGGAACAAAATAAGCACTAACAACTTAGTAGAAGGAAACAATGTCACCAAAACTATCTAGTGATGTTTTAAAGTAAAACTAAGTCGATATTTCAGGACTTCCTGCTTATTCTTCATAGGTATAAAGATTTTAAAGATTTTTTTATTTACATAATATTCAAAATTATAAGAAGATTTGTGTACTTTTAATGTCAATAATTATTGATGTAGTGATATGAGACATAGGTATGATGTCACATCTCTTTATTGTAATTATAATTGTTGGTTTTGGTCCTGTCTAAAAAGGTACACTTTATTACAAGAAAAAAAGAGAAGCATGGGTGTATGGGTTGGTAAAATTTGTTTTTCAGCAATACTCCTGAATGATAGCGTGTTGGTTCTGTGATGTAAACCATCTCAAGATTACATCAAAAACACTTAATTTTCCTCCTTAACTCTCATCCTTATTTATATACAGCACCAGGTAATGCATTGGTAAAATTACAAGATCAAGTAAACTCAGGAAAGTCAGGGAATTCTAAATGTTACAGTTTTTTTGTTTGTTTGTTTGTATTTTTTATGACAAATGTTCAAACCAATATTGAAAGACTGTCCATTTTGGAATGTCACAAGTATACAAATGCTCACTACTATATAATTATTGTGCTATTAATGCTCAGTTCTCCAAAGAAAGTAGAAAAAGAGCCCACTGACCTTGTAAATTCCTTGAAACACAGCTGTTTAGTTTGCACAATTTACAAATTCTGCAGGCTTCACCAGTGGAGGAGCTTGTAAGTTCCTCACTACAAAGCTAATAGGCTTGTGGTACTACAGAGGTGCTGTAAGTCTGGTGTTAAACAGCTTGCTGCACTTACAAGTCCCATCATTCTTGGGGTTTTTTCTGAAGCCTCTTGAGCTTAATGTTTCGTCCTGCTTCAGCAGATCAGTTTGGAAATCCCTACTACCTTATTCCTTAGCTGCATAGTTAATTACTTGCGTATGTATGTTCTCCAAATCCATTTTCGGGTTCATCTTTACCAGTTTAAGAGGATTTTCTGTTGAGCTTTTAGGGCCCATCCTTTTCAAGTAGAAATACCCTTTCCATCTTAAGTCAGTATTAAAGCAATTTTTAAAACACCTCTGTATATTCTGTCAACTCAAATATCACAAGAGCTCAAAAATCACTCATCACTGGAAGTGAGCCCCAAAAAGTGTCCAATAATTTTCTTCTCTGAATTTTTTGTTCCTGTTTACTCGTAAATAGCTGTTTTTTCAGCAAATTAAAAACATTAACCTATGGACAGATAACAAAGATTAAAAAATTAAATATGGGAAAAACATATAGGCTGCTAACACATGTGAAAAAAAAAAAAAAAAAAAAACCACTTTACTGGAAGAGGAAGTGCATTTGTTTGACCTGACTCCCCAGTATCTGTGTAGATTGGGTGCTTCAGCAGGGCTTTTTGGTACTTTTATCTAATAGCTGATTCAATCAGCTATTAGATAAAAGTGCCAAAAAGCCCTACTGAAGCACATGGTCTATACAGACAGTAGGCAAGCCAGGTCAAACTAATGCGATGCCTCTTCTGGGTGTTCATCATACATTTCTGCTCCTAGTCTGCTTATATGTTTAACTAAAATTGTTTTGCCATCTTAGCTGCAATGATCTTAACAAGGTTTGTGTGTGTGCGTGCATTGCGTAATCAGCTTTGTTGGAATTAACTATTTCTAACATCCTGATAATATTGTTCATTGCAATCTTCAAAGTACCAATGATAGGGCTGGCTCTACTGGTACAGAAAAAATAATTTTCCTCCTTTTTTGCTTTTGGACTATAAATGATAAATCATTTGTTGAAGAGATAATAAAGCACCAACTGGGTGGTGGTTTAATTCATATCAGGGGAGATCTTCAGTTGCTTTCTAAAACAATGTGATTAGAGAAGGAGTTCTTTTATGAAAAACCTTAGGCAGATTATTTTTTGTATATCTCTTCTGTTCTTACAGGTGTTAGTCAAAGTAGAGTAAAAAAAGGTTAAGGGCTGGAAAAAAAATTCTAGTTCTACTTTGCATCTGCAACATGAAGTCATAAATCAAGTACAGCAATTACAAAATGCATAAAGAAAAATCCCAAAAGCAACAAAAATTTAGATATAAATAACTTCATTGTACTGGTGAAGGATACAGTTGTTCGGCAGGAAAAAAAAGAATAGGAGGCATAACATATAAATGAGTGAAAAGAATGTGTAGGGGGTTGTGAAATGTTTCTTTAATAAAGCAGATAAACAGGGGGGAAAAAATCTGTTCCTAGTTTCTCACACTGATGTTGCCTTTAATTACAGCGATCAAGGTTAAGGCAGTCTTAGTACATCTTAACCTTATTCCTGCCAGTGGCCCAGGTAACTGAGTCATAGATGTGGATGTGCTTTGTGCAGATCATAGACATTGGTGATGATGCTGGTAAAACAGGTGGTGGCAACAACTCCTCTCTTCTTTATCTGTAGCTCTCTGTCTGAGGTGGGATTCACAGGCTTTTAGCAGTCTCATACTCATGGGCTCCACCCCAGTGCTCCTTGTTGATAGATCTTAGAAGATGACCTGAACTATAAGGGAAGGGGGTTGCGTGACATGTTGACTTCCTTCCATTTGGCCATCTCCCCACCTAAAAGCATGATTCTCATACTTCTCACTATTTTTTTCAGGTCTTTTATTGGTCAGATAGATATATATTTCTGTAACATGGACAGACAAGAAGCTTGCTCATATGCATGGTTCTGTTGCAGTTGAAAGCAGATTTTGTCCCTTGCATCTTTCTTTGGTGCATCTTGTGAGATTCATAAGCAGGCATCCTGGTTTCCTCTGTTTAAAAATTGCAAATTCTCTGATAAATGCCGCCCCCCCAACACACACATTTTCTGATTAAAACCCTCAAAATCCACATTTTTCTGTGATTAAAATGAAATGCCAGTATAAATATATGGGTATCAGTTGCACCCAATGTTTTATTGATATATTTACAATTTTAAAGCAATTTGGAAGCCTACCAGTGCCTCAATCATTATAACAAAATGTGTTCTAAATATGTATTTTGGCATTTGATTTTGTTTTTTTAAATCATAGAAAATCAGAGCTCCCCCTGCTCCCTTCGCTTGCCAGGATGTAGGTGGAGCTGTGGCTGTCCCCTCTGCTGGTTTGTGGTGCTGAGCAGTCCTGATATGGCAGTGCCTTGCCCCTGCTCATGACATGGCCCCTTAGTCCCAAGCCACAAACCCTCCTCCCCCAGCTCTGCCTGTGGACCTCACTGTCAGCACAAAGACCTCTGGCCCTGCCAGTGGCCCTTATTCCTAATCCACAGCCCTTTGGCACTGCTGGTGCCCCTCACTCATGACCCACTTCCTTGCACCCCCAGGTCCAAGCCACCTAATATATGAAGAAGAAAGTGGGTGACGCATGGTGGGGCAGGAAGACACAGGCAATGTGTGTGGGGGTGGGGTGGTACAGGCCCCCAGGTTTCTGCAGCCACAGCAGGCGCAAGACTGCAGCTGGGCTGGACTTGCTCTGGGCAGGAGCCACCTCCATGGCCCAGGGGCCAGGACCTGGCATGGGAAGGAGCACAGCACTGCCATGGTTACCAAGGTAAGGTGTGGCAGCATGGAATTGTGCCCCCTGCTGCTGCTGCATAGGCAGGGGGCACCTCACCTTGGTGGCCATGGCTGTGCAGTGTTCCCTCCAATGCTGGGTCCCGGCTGCTGGTCCACGGAGGTGGCTCCTGCCCAGAGCAGGTCCAGCCCAGCTGCAGCCCCACACCCTGTGTCCCATTGTGGGCAGAGAAATCGGGAGTGAGGGGCTGTGCTTCTCCCCTGGCTCCCCCTCATGTGTTGCCTGTGGGATCCTCCGTCCCCCATAGACTTACTTCCAGAGAGCTGTGGGAGTTTTTGTTCCTGCTCCCCAACTGCCACATGTATGTGTGTGTGCACGCACATGCACGTGCCTCCCTGTGAGTCCCCCCCTCCCCCTGCCCCAGGTAGCTCTTTGCAGGCTGGAACTCTGTCAGCCTGAAATGGGAAATCCATGGTTTCTTGGGTGGTTTTTTTTTTTTAAACCAGAAAATCTGCCTTTTTCTTCTTTAAAGGGGGAAAATCTGTGTTGTTCCACAGCAAATGGAAAACCTGTATCATTATTTATAAGTATGATGTTTGTGTTGCCAAGTCTGGACAACTTTTCTGTTACTATGTTTTCTCACATATAACACATACAAAATCAGCCCCCTTTCCTGCACCAACCAAATTTGGTTTTGTGTATTCAGTAGTAATGCCAGTGTTCTGCCCAAGATAGAAGCATGCCACTTTGCATCCTGCTTTACAGTGCAGTAGCTCTGGTATTGGGCAACTAGGGAACCAGGGAAGCAGTTCGCTTAATGGCCCATTGTTCTTCATTCCAAAGGAGCCAGCAATCTGTCCCAGCCGCCTGCTGAGGGCTCGGGATTGAGAGTATGGTTGGGGGTAGAAAGGTAAGAAAGGTTTATTGACTTAACAAAAACACAACTACGCGTAGTAATAAGACAAACAATGACAGACAAAAACAATTCATGTTGGCAACTTATTGGCAGTCCCCTCTGATGCCTGATGTACAACAAGTTTCTCTTTCCACAAAGTTCAGTGAAGACAGGTGTCCCCGATCAGTGCTGTCTGAGAGGTACCGGGAAGGACCCTGGAGTTCAGTCCTTGGGCTCCTCGAGATCCACAGGCCCACTGATCCAGGCCAACAGCTAACTAATCTTTTTCACAGAGCTGTAATTTCCTTCTGAATGGTTTTCAGATATTCTAGCTAATTTATAGCTTCTGAATGGTACTGATAACGTACAACCACTCAGATTCCTTTTACTTCAACTATCCTTAGACTGACCAATAGCAGTACAAGCCTTGCATTCCTTTAATAAGGTAATTTTTACTATGCCACAGGGCCTTACTACTTCAAGACTTTGCAAACTAAGTCTTACTTTATACAAGGCCTCACTACATCTTAAACTTTATCAGGCTTTTAGCAACAACATATAGCTTAATATCTAAACAAATACAGAAAAACACTTAGTCTAATTTTCATAGAGCCTTCAGCAAGCACCTTTATCACACAAACATAGTTTTCAGCTGTCACACAATCGTCTCTCCTTTTTAATAGCTTGATGTTCCACTAATCAAGCTAACTTTTCTTAGGGCAGTTTTGCTGTCCCATAGAACTCCTGGTCTTTTCTCCTATTTCACAGCTCTTTAGCTCTTTTCAAAATCATAGGAGACCAGTCTTTAGCAGCAGTTAGGGTTTAAGTTAAACAGGAAAGGGAGGGTGAGTCATTTGAAGATTAGGCTCTCAGTAGCCATAAATCTGGAAAAAAAATCCTTTTTCTTCATTCTGCCTTTCAGAAAGAAAGTGCATATTATATTTAGGGTGCATTGGTAATTGAATATAGACAGTAGTGCAGTTATATTGGTCTGTTGATGATTAATGGTGGTAGATTTATTGTTAAAACTGTTCAAGATTACTTTTGCATTTTTGCAGATTGGTGGGTATCTAAGGCAAATAATGGCTTGTACAAATGTCAGTGGACTTTACTGCCATATATAGGCATGGGGCACTTTCATGAGTTAGGGGAAACTGCTGGCTTAGGAGTGGACTATAATGTGCTTGCAGGCTTTCAAGGCAAAAATGAAAGAATGAAATATCAAGGACTGAGGGCTTCTGGATGACTGTGTAAGTTAATGCTTAATAACTAGCCAGAGGTTACAACCATAAACTCTGTTGTGAGAGTTTTATTAGAATCTTCTGCTAAATCTGGCCCAACATCTGTTACATAGTCTTTAAGATAATAAAAAATATCAAGTAATTTGAACATTTAATTATTGGGATCACACTAACCAAATTGCTGCATGCCTGGTTTGCTGTATGCAATGCACAGGTAGCATTTTGTCCATTTATGATCCTTTGTGATGAAATAGATAACATGAGAGTTACTTAGACAGTAGTTGTGCTATTATTTCAAAATACTTTACTTCTGCTTGCAACAATTAAACTATGCTGTTAGTCACAATCTTAATCTTTGCTCTATTTTTTTCATTAATATAAATCTCCCTATCCTTTATAAACCTTCCCACTGTATGCTAGCTGTGTGACTACGCATGTTTTAGAGAGATGTGTAATATCCTTATGTTTATTTTTAAACGTGGCCTAGCTGGTTCTCTTTTATTAAACCATTTTTATTTCAGAGTTGCAGTAATCATATCTGACAGTTCACTTCTGGGGGATTGTGGCATTTCTCAGGTGGTTGAAATCACTTAGTTGTTCATCTTGTGCTTCCTAGTATAACCAAGGAGCATTGTGTTCTGCTGTTGTTTTTTATGACTTAATCATTCATTACATTCTTGGCTTTCAACTGTATTTCTGCTCTTTGCAAATCAAGCCACATGTCCTGGTGACTAAACTGATGCATTCAAACAGAGATGTAAAAGGTGTATGGAAAACCTAACTCCATTGAACAAAGAATTAGTGTCCTTGCACTTTTTTCAAGGCTGTTCATCAACTATTCACTTGAACTGCAAAAATTTTGGTACGTTGCTTATAACAGTGATTCTTTATTGGGAGTCCCTTGGGATCTTTCCAAGGATGCCATGGGATGCCAGTGTTAGCACTGTTGTGTGTACTAATGTGATTCACAAGATAAACCAAAAGATTATAAATAAGAATCCATAGTGTTAAAAATGCAGACTTCTTGTGGTCTGTTTCAGTTACTTGCAACAGAAAATTTGCTTTATTATTTTTCCGTAGTCAAAAATGAGTGAAAACTAAGAGCTGGCATTTTCTGAGGGGTATCTTGAGCCTAATGAGGGGTGCCTTGAGCTTAAAAAGTTTGAAAACCACTGCCTAATGATATGATAAGTACCTTCAACTCAATTGGTCAAGAGAATTCTGAACTTTTAGGACATCACAGGAAGCATTAAGTGGGTGTGTCCAGACAAGTGTACACATGCATTTCTCTGAAGACAAATAGCAACAGCACATAGTTGTGCTGCTACTGCTTGTCTCCTAGGAATGCCTGTACATGTGCTCCAGTGCTCAGCAAGTTGCCCAGGTACGGGAGGCTGGGGCCAGCCCCTGGACTGGCCCTAGCAGATTTACCTGGGATCCTGGGGGCATCCTGCAGTGGCAGTCTGGGTGCGCAGAGCCTGGTCGGCAGCTGTGTGGCTCTTGCTGGCCAGGCTCTGGTTTTGGGCAGTGCACACTGCCACCATGTGTGCCACCCCACTTTTTCTGGTGTGGGTTTTTTTGACACTGAGATCTCCTGGTATGAGCCCCCCCACACACACTACACTGCTAATTAGCAGCACAGCAAATGCCTGCATATGTGGTGCATGTGGTTTGTGGTGCCACAGATGGGGCTGTGGTGCTGTAAACCACACATGTGTCTGGATGTACCCAGTGGGTGCATCTACACGTGCACTTTACTGCAGAGTAGATTATTAACCCCACAGTAAAATGTCATCATCTACACATGTGCTGGTATTAGGGTTCAGTAAAATGACCAACTTTGCCATAAGATAGTACTGTCAGAGTCATTTATGGAGCTGAAACTCATGTGTAGGCAGTAACCTTAGGCATAAATTGTGTCTCATCAGCCCAGACAGCTGGGAACCTGCACAGAACTGCCTCAAATTGCTGCTGTCCTAGGTGCATGTGTAGATGCTGCCTGGGAGGAGTTTACCCCACCTCAACTGCTCTGAGGTTTATTGCGTCACATTAATTGTATGTGTAGATGCACCCAACAATTTGATCCAACCTAGACAATAAACTCCTGTCTGGTTCATTGTGCACATAGAACATGCTGTTACCATCCTTTTTATAACCCTCTTCTATATATTTGAGGACTTATCAAATCTCCCTTCTCCAGACTAATACCAGTAATCCCAGTTCTTTCAACCTTTCTTTATAAGTCATGTATTTTAGACCCCCAATAATTTTTATTGTTGTCCTCTTGACTCTTTTTAATTTGTCTTTTCTTAAAGTTTGGTGCCCTGAGTTGGAGACAGTAAAAAGGTGACTCTAGTAGTGCTGATTTTAATGTGTGATTTTGGGACTGAACAATGGCATGTGATTGGGTGAGGTTTTGAAGAAGGCAAATATAGAGCCTATTTTTAAGAAAGGGAACAAGGAGGATCTGGGTAATTACAGACTGGTCTGTCTGATTAAAGACTTGGACAATGGCATTGGGTATAAATTTAGCAGCTTTTCAGATGACACTAACCTGTGGAGGGTTGCAGACAGTCTGGAGATTAGAATTAGGATTCATAAAT